GCCTCACTGTTTTTGCAGTGATCGTTGCTTCTAAATTGCTCCGATCAATTTGTTTCCGAAGTCCCTGTCGGCAATTCAAGAGGCTTTGCAGCAGTAAAAGTTGCTTTGTAGCATTGCAGTTCTGCCAACTTCATTCACTTAATACACAGCTTCAGCGCATTATTATACTTCACACACACTGTTTCTAACTTGCTCCGATCAATTCGCCTTATTCAATAACTCGATGGACAATGTATAATGTAAGTGGATAGCTTTTGAATAGTTACTGGCAGTTTGAAATAGTTCAGCCCCGTTCACGCAGTTTATTCATTGCATCAGCGGATTAATACTCCACACACTTTACCTCACTCGCTCTGTACAGTTTGCCTTTAAAGGTAAAATCTGTTTTTTGTAAAATTTTGAGGTAGGTAAATAAAACTGATAAGTTTAAAAATTATAATTACAGGTCGGCCTCGTTCACGTGGTTCATGCCTGGTATATTAGCGGATTAATAATGCTTCCGTTACGTTGTTTCCACATGGTTCCGATCGTAATTAATCAGTACTCCACTACCTGCATCTCATGGGCTCCGTTCAGTTCGCCTTCAATACCTCGATAGGCAATTTGAGCGGCTTTGGGGCTGTAATAGTTGCTTGCATAAGTTTGGCCACTATTACTGAGTTTTTGGTCGTATTCAGAGCCGTTCCTTAATCAGCTCAGGGCCGGATTTACCTACTTGCCGCCCATGGGCCGCCTGTATTTTGCCGCCGTCTTCTCATTCGTTTTGAAAAATCAATTAAAACCATCAAATGAACGTGCCATCGAAGGAGAGGTGCATAAGACGCGTTCACTCGTGTTGGACACATTTTTTGCGAAAGCCCTGTCAACACTACTAGCAAAAGTTCAAGGAGCTTTGTGCGAAAGTTAAAATTCGTAAACCCATCTCTGCGTGGACAAGGCCTTCCATTCATAAGAAATGAACGAAAAAATTATGAAAGAACAAACATAAATGTGGTTCAATGATTTTAACTTCCGCCGCCGCGCCGCGCATGACCGCACCCTGTTGGACGCAATGCGTGAAGTATTCACGCAGTCTTGTAGGCGCTATGCATTTCACGCTGACCGCATTGTGTTTGGCGCAATGCGTGAAGTATTCATGCATTCTTGTAGGCGCTATCCGTTTCACGCTGGCCGCAATGACCTGATTGACTGTGTTTGATGCAATGCGTGAAGCATTCGTGCAGTCTTGTAGGCGCTAATATGTGTTACATGCCGATCGCCGCGCCGAGGGCTTCTCCGTTTCATCTCAAGTCCTTTTCATCATTTCTCTCTAAGTCGCGCCGTTCCGGGTCACATTGCGTGTTTTAACTATTTGGTTTCTCTCTTAACTTGAATAATTAAAGGCGCTGTCTCTTGTATCCCTGAAAGATGACAAAATTAGAAATTATTATACTCTCAGGAAATGAGAGATAATGTCGCCTTCTCTCGTATGTGATTTTTTTTTCTAAATACGATTTTTTTATACCTACATTTAAAAAAATTGCAAAATTTGCCGCCCCCTATAGATTTGTCGCCATGGGCCGCGGCCCACCCCCTTAGTCCGGCCCTGAATCAGCTCTATTCTCCAGAGATACTCCCTTGATGACCACATTACATTGTGGTTTTAAAGAAGGTCTTTAGCAAGCGTCAGAAAAGGGAAAACGACACTTCTGCAATATGAAGAGACAAAATTAACAAATCAACAGATGAACCACTATTTGCTAATGGACAATAAACATATCAATCGATCTCAGCCCCTTCATTCTAATACTACCTAATTAGTATAAAGAGCGGTTCTTCCTCTTCAGTCTCCTTTTTCGTACCTAACACGGTAAAATATATTGGATGTGGAATAAAAATATGGTAAAATTATCGAGGGCACCGTGGAATTACTGGAAGACGGTAAAGTTGCCGAGAGTCAGGGCCAGATTAAGGGGGTGGCCACATGGGCGGCAAATCTAAGGGGCGGCAAAAATTTGCAATTTTTTAAAGTGTAGGTATAAAATAAATCGGATTTATAAAAACAAAATTACAACGAGACAAGGCGACAAAATCTCTCATTTCCTGAGAGTATAGTAATTTCTAATTTTGTCGTCTCTTAATGATACAAGAGACAGCACCCTCAATATAAGTCGAGTTACGAGAGAAACCAAACACGCAATTTGGCCTAGAACGGCTCGACTTAGAGAGAAATGATAGCGAGGACTTGAGATGAAAAGGAGAAGCCCTCGGCGCGGCGATCGGCATGTAACACATATTAGCGCCTACAAGACTGCACGAATGCTTCACGCATTGCATCAAACACAGTCAATCAGGTCATTGCGGTCAGCGTGAAACGGATAGCGCCTACAAGAATGCATGAATACTTCACGCATTGCGCCAAACACAATGCGGTCAGCGTGAAATGCATAGCGCCTACAAGACTGCGTGAATACTTCACGCATTGCGTCCAACAGGGTGCGGTCATGCGCGGCGCGGCGGCGGAAGTTAAAATCATTGAACCACATTTATGTTTGTTCTTTCATAATTTTTTCGTTCATTTCTTATGAATGGAAGGCCTTGTCCACGCAGAGATGGGTTTACGAATTTTAACTTTCGCACAAAGCTCCTTGAACTTTTGCTAGTAGTGTTGACAGGGCTTTCGCAAAAAATGTGTCCAACACGAGTGAACGCGTCTTATGCACCTCTCCTTCGATGGCACGTTCATTTGATGGTTTTAATTGATTTTTCAAAACGAATGAGAAGGGGGCGGCCAAATATAGGCGGCAAGTAGGTGAATCCGGCCCTGCCGAGAGTTCCTGTTAATCGGTAACAAACAAGTAAATTAGGAATTTTAACGGGTTCGTTTGCTGCATGTAAGTGATTAAAATACGCACAATCCTTTAAAAAAACCTGGAACTTTCATTCACTCAGTTTCCATTCAAAATATTTCACTTGCGTTGTTTCCACCACTTAAGTGAAAGTTCAAGTATTGGAAATTGTGCTTGTATTAATTCCTGTGCCTATGAAAAGTTTCATGGGAAACTTTTCATTAAACGTTTCAGAGTTTTCAAGTGGATACATAAGAACCTACGTGTAATTATGCATATCGTAACGTAAACAACATACAAAGGGATCAGGGGACTCAGAAGGAATATCATCTAGTCTGCAACCAAATATATTTTCATGGCCCGTCAAAATTTATTTTATGTCGTCTGCAATGCAGAAAACTGTAAGATTTGACTTTCTTTTTATTTTATCCTCCAAAAACGTTGGGTGTTCTTTGATTTTATGTCGATTTCCATGAGGGGTGGAATTATGGTTTGGTCAAATTTTGCACTTTCGCCCTAGATTCCCTTTTCCTGGTCCTATCAAATGCGAAAAAATACACAATTTTCATGTTGATAACTTTCGATTTATTGGCTCTTAGAATGTCTAATACCGAAAGAATCAGGAAATAAATACGTAAGGTGAACACACATTCCTTCTCATTGAAAAAGAAGTACGTCGTCGTTTAAAATTCCGATATTACTGAGAAACTACGAAACGTGTGCCTCGATTGCAGTGTTTCAAAATTTAGTTCCTATTTTGTACACATAAGAGAATGTATTTACACAGTTTTTTTTCACCAAATTGTCAGAGATTAGGTGTTTTAAAAGAGCAAGGAAAAATCTACCGAAATATTTCTCTATTACGAACGATGCTCAGTCATTAAAGAACTTTTGAGAGGAGATTTACAACGTCGTAAACCGAGATATGTGAGGTAAGTCTCACCACCGATAAGTGACTTACTCTATATTTGTGGAAAAAGCGATCAAATAAATTCGATGTTGAAAAGTTGCCTAATTCTCAAAAACATTTTTTTTTCTTTTACAAGAAAGAGATCTTACAATTGATTGTTGTTTCATTTCCTGAAGTTTCTTCTCATACCAGATATTTTTACCTAGTTTTCGGAAGACTGAAACATCGAAAAAATTTGAAAGACTGCGATTGAGTAAGCTTATTAGTAATTTGTCATGACTTTAGTAAAAATGCGTTAATTACGGACTGTTCCAAGCTCCTTCAAATCGTAAGATATGCAACACCAATGAAAATGTAGGTATAATTGTATCAACTTGAAATGAAGGAGTTCTGATGGACAGGCGGCACTCATTCTGTTTTATTAGAATGCACTTCGCAAAAATCCTGAATTGAGGCTTCGTCGCTTCGTAAAAGTTGCAAATTATAGAAACTTGTATTTTCGAAATCTGAAAGTTTAAAACACTGGACAGATATCTATTTGTTTAACCTGCAAATGATTAATTGAGGAAAAATGGTCTGACCATTTCTTCTGGCTATAAATTTAACAGTGCTTTCGCCATGAAAAAAATTTGGGTGAATATTTCGACATGTGAATTGCAACTTTTAACTGGGAAACCATTTGTGGAAATTTACATCTAGAATCAATTTTTTAAGGTTACCTCATTTCTGATTTTTATAGTAATAATTTTCAGCTAGAAATGTTGTTTCAAAAAAAGTATTAGAGAAATAGCCTCAGCTACAATATCCCTCAGACAGAAGATAATCTCTCGGCCCTCTTTCACATTTCCTATCTCCACACTGATTCAACTCTCATTCCATGAGAGTTCATCCCAGGGTTTTCAAACTTTTTGACACCTTGCTCCAGCAAAGAACAACAGCAATTGCTGTTTTAGGATAAATTAAGCTAAACATAGAGCGCCAAGACAAGTAATTGTATTTAGGAGGATACAACCTGAAGGAGCCTATTATTTTACACTCCTTAAAAATGTGACACATAATGATTATATCACACTTTACCATACGAATGTTATGTACTTTTCAAAAATTCCTGATTGAAAGAATGAGTCAGTTGAAATACTTTCTATTACTGCTGCCAAAATGAATAAAAAAATACTGATGAGATTTTATTAAAAAATATGTTTAAAAACCTAGGATATTTCTGAAAGAGAATTAAAACATAGATATTCTTTAAAAATACAAAATTCAATAGTAGTAACAAAATATGATTTTATTTTTCTAATTAATTTGAAGAAGGCACAAATTCTACAGCAGGTATTTGGAACTCAATTCCAGGGCATTACTCTGGGGGGTATAATGAAAAAATATAGCTCTACAACATTTAAAGAGCATATCTTAAAAAACAATTACTAAAAATTAAGTACAAAAATACGGGGACTTCACAAGAAAAGGTAAAAATTTGTCCTAAAAACATAAATAAAAAAGATTTGGTATTCGCTTTCTTTGACTACATACAACAGATTGTTAACAAAAAAATCAGATCTCAAAATTTCATTCAGACTTGACTCAATTTGGCACTAAATTGCAAGAAAAGTACAGATTTTATAACAAGAGTAGATAAAACAGTACAGAAAAGGCTGCAAGATGATGAAAGAAGGGGGTTTTAAGTCACCCTTTGGAGGAAAAGAGCAGCATTAGTAATATCACCGAGATAAAAACAGATTAAAATAAAAATCAACAATTTAAGTTAAAGAAAAGAACAGGGCAAAAACTGAAGACTAGGTAACTTAAGTACGAGATATGTAACTAACATGTTACATCCTGAATGAATCATTCATCACTTCATTTTCAAGGTTTCTTTATCAAAGTCTTGTTCTGTACTTCTCAGATCGGTTGTGACTAGCAGACAGTGAAAGCAATAAATTTCCTTTTAAGCTATGAAAAGAGGACATTAGTGTCAAAGATGATTGTTAAAAATACTGACTAGGGACAAGTCAAAAGACGACGATTTTGACATTAAAAAGCTGAGAACTAAGTATTCAGTAAAGAATTATTGATTCACTTTCATCAAAGCTGTAGTATTCCATAATCTTCATGTGATGAAGGTTCATCGAAACTGATAAAAGAAGACCTCACAATAAAGCTGCTACACTAAGAATAAAGAAATCTTTTTACAAGAAACAGAACCTGATAATTAAAGAAAAAACAATGTGAGAAAATAATAGGGTTAAACAAAATACAGAAGAAAAACATGTAGGTTAAAACTGACCTTTTAAAGTAGCAAAACAACAAAATATCAAATCAAAGCATTTATGAAGAACTATTGTAAGCTTGTAGGTGCAGTTTCATTACTATAGCTCACTTTGTAAGTTTTTGACAGATAACCAACAAATATCATCACATTAACTTCACTACGATAAGTCATCACCACATGAGATACATTTTGTGAACGTCTTGAGTGAGAATACTAATTTACTTTCTTGTAAAAAGATTAAAAGGAATTGACAACCTAAAAAAACATGACAGCGTATGTAAATTTCGTGGCACAATCAAACAATGCATTAATTCAGTTAGAACTAAAAAGATTACTTAAAGTCACTTGATGGCACACAAAATTGATCTTAAGTCTCGATAGATATTTAAATACTCACAATAAGGTATACGTTAAATGATGAGTAAGGAGGTACAGATCTCAGGCAGAGTTAAAGTATGTTAGAATAATGAGTTGAAATATTAGATTGATTAGACAAAAATGACTATCTATGAGACAAAGAGAGAAGAACATTTTCAGTTTTTAGATGAACAAATAACAAATTAAGAACAATTGAATTAAAAACAACATTGCTTGAAGCTATGGCTGGCTTTTTTAAAAAAAACACAGGTAAGGATAAAATGACGGAACATGACAGCCCGCAAGGATTTCCAGTTCAAAAAGAAAACAAGTTATTCTACGTAAAATACAGCGATCAATTTTTCTTTATCTTGCTACTGATGAGTAGAAGCTTGGAAAAATAAAAAAAATTGACAGACTCTCAGAAAACTTCCGCACATTCCTGGAAATGTTTTTAAGGTGACACAAGGCAGTGATGTAACTGTTAAGCAAGGCGAGAATTTCTGCAAAAAGAAAAATAGGAGGAAAAAAAAATTAATAACAATTTTAAATAATTTTATGCAAATTGATTCCTGTAAATCTTCATGTTTCATATGCCACTTGACTGTGCTTTTGAAGATGAAGTTTTATTCTTTGGAATCAACAGCTCTGTGACCTTGATCTTCATACCAAACGATTTGAATTGATAACTGTTTATTTTTTGTGGCCTTCACACCCTTTAAAAATCATACGACATTGATCACAATCAAAGGTTATTACATTTTTCCTTTTAAAAACTTCTATCAGAGTGTGCCTCTTTTCATTCTTTTAGAATACCATTAAAAAGAGTTTGAGATCAAATGAACACAACTGAGGCTTCATAGATGTCTGTATTACATGATGGAAAATTTCTTATTACACTTAGGAATTTTTAGGAATTTTAAAACACTTTTTGCCGCAGTCTCATCTGCTACCGAAACCCTACTTTGCTCTCACCGAGTTTACAAAACTTCCAACATTCACGGTTCGGTGGATAAAACATGTAAAAAGTTACAGGAAAGGACTTAACTTAAATTGCATTACAGAAGTTGGTATAACAGTTTAAAAGAGACAAACAACACCGTTCAACACAGTTCAGTTTGCCTAACAACTAAGAGCTGCGTCATTGAAAACAGCTGGAAAAATGTTCAGCCGTACCAACCTACATGCTACTGCGCATGGCTAAAAATTAAAAAATGACCTTTACTTTTTCCCATCATACTACAGTTTCCCTGATTGTAAATCTTTCTAGAAAGAGCCCAATTTTAGATTTTTCCGGGGAAAGCCTGAACTGATTGAAAACGATAGAGGCTGTTTTTAGCATCACCTCTAAAAATCTACCTACCAGCAGCTCTTGTTTTTTTGGCAAAGCAAAATTATTTTTTTGCAGTTAAACAGTGAGATTTTTGTTGCGAAACAAATGTTTTTTTTGAAATTCTATAAAAAATATGAAAGAGGAAATTCATACTTACATGTCATTTGACTGCTGAAATAACTGCTGCATCACTACTTCCCATTTAATTCAGCTAGCTAAGGAAAAAAAGAAAAAGGCAAAAGATTAGCTAGAAGTCATCAAAAAAATTATTGCATTATAACTTCCAGATCAAAAGCTCATGGCTGCACAATGAGTGTTTAAATAAATTAATAAAGTGTGCAGCAATGTTGGCCTGAGGTGCTGCTATGGTTTTCCTGAGTGGAATAGAAATCAAGACAGCGGAAGTTAAGGAAAAGTTGACAAGAAGGCGCCAAAGTTGGGGTTGAAAACAAGTAGGTAGTAGAAGTTGAAAAGTATCTACAAAGGGATAAGGGCAGAAGTTTTAATCATAAAAAACCTGGATTAACTCCAAAAAAAGTGTTTTTCACCATCAATTGTAGTCTGTGTATTGCATTCATTGCCTGTTCTATTCATTTTATTTGACCAACGCCTTTCAGGCCCCCCTTCCCCTTAAACTTCCACTATAATACCCCCTCATTTCCCCTCATTAAGGAAAAACATATTCACACATTAGTCATAACAACGGCACTTGGATATTTTCTCAACAAAATTTGTTAAAACTATTAGTTTAGGATTCGTTGGAATTTTTTGCACTTTACTGTGATATTGATGACCATTGAGTCTGATTTCCACTGTTTAGGATCAATTGAACATCAATTTGCAATTTGGAACTAAAATATCTGGCTCAGTTTAGAAACGACGTATGAATCATTAGTTTCTTCATGCAAATATGTGTTTTTACTGATGAGCTGGAAATTTTAGTTCCTTATTGCAAAACTAAGTACAATTAATTGGTGACTATAGAAATAAGGAAAAACAATCAAATTTAATTATCTTCAAAGATGAAAATTTCTAACCTCTTGCTCTTCATCGACTTCATCTTCCTCATCGGAGCCGTGAACGGAATGCGCTGGAGTGGTAGGTCTGCTGCTTGCAGGAGAAGGTGGCTCAGAGTATGGTCGTGGGTAACTGAATCTTCGTCGTCTTTGGGCATCTTCTCCTTCGTGCTCTACTTTAAAATCGGGGTAAACTATCCCTAAGGCTTTGTTCCTTGCTTCCATGTAGTACTGTTTCACAAAACATGATGGAAATTATTATTTAATACATTAGAGAAATTATTCAAAAGGAACTAATCAACAAGGGTGACATAAATCAGGCCTCCGTGAGATTTTTTCGATCAAGATTAGATAAAGTCAACTTTAAAACTTTATATTCATTTGAAAATAACTCTCCTCTTATGACACATTGACAGCTGGTGACTGATGACAGCGTGTTACTTGCGCGTAATTTCTATAAGCTCTTTTCTGGCAGAGCTTGTTTAGCATTTAGAGCTGGGAAAAATCTCATTCATACAGTGCTGTTTATCACCAGCCTTGTGCATGGGTGCATGAAAATCTTGGGCTAGCAACGCTGATGGAGCGAAAAAACTGCTCAGAGCGGAAAAGAAGGGCACATGTGAGCAAAATAGAACTGTAGGAACCCTGGCTGGTTGTTGGTGCTTTGGTAGTCAATGTACAAAAAATGTAGTATTGTTTTTTTTTTTTTTTTAAGCGTGCCAGTAGGGCTCGCTTTTCGAAATCACTCGGATGTACCATAGTACAGCACACAGATCAACCAATGCTATTCAACGGGTCGTTGAAATACTTTTTTCCTCGCACCCGTTTCTTTGTCTTTGAACCATTACACTGTCAAGCCCTGATGGTCTTTTACCAAAAAATCTAATGAACTGCTAATTGGAAACCCTTGAGAACATTTTTCTGTCAAAACCGTATTATTCAATTTGACAGAAACCTCATAGGAGCTTTCTAACGCTCGGAGGACTCAACTCTAGAACCTTCTTTCCCGCCAAAACTCTATTGCCAATGAGCGTCTTGCACTGTAAGTGCAATCTGTGATGAGCCTCGTGACTCATTATACTATGTACTAACCATGGCCCCTGCCGAAATCCACTTAAATCACTACAGTTATCTCGCGATATAGCTTTGGGTGTCCGGTTTCGAGCAAGGCAATAAAAGACGGCGAGGCAATTAACCGATTAACCATTCACCGTGATGCCAGGATCCACCAAATTTTCTCAAAAATTGTTTTCCGTCTATTTAGCGAGTTTTTCTTTACTTTCCGTTGAAGTACAAATAAAAAGAGACCTCATTTGTACAAATCGGCCGAATAGGAGAGAAGTTCCAGTTCGAAATCCAAAGAGATTAACTGAACGCAATTTCGATGCACGGCAGTTCGCCCAAATCACGGTCGTGCGCAAATGCCGCATATCAGCTTAAAATCAAGATAATTGGACAGAATCTTTAAAATTAATTTACATTCAACGTTCATGAATCAATATTTTCTCCCAAATTTAGCAAAAAGTACCAATTGATGCAAAAAGCAAAGACGTGAAAATAAGAGGTATTTGTCCAACATTTCAGTTATTCGGCACGCTTTTCCAACATACTCATGTTGGATTTTTTCTTCTTGTTTTTTTTTAGCTTGAAAGTAGTGAAGGATCAAACAACTCATGACCGTTTCATGAGAGTTAGTAAACCTCTAAATTTTAAAAAAGTCAAAAGGGAGTCACTACAAGTGATTTCTTCATGCTGTATTTTTGGGTCACTTATTTCAATTTGCGAGTTTTGGATTTGCTTTAAAATCCAAACAAGCAGTATGCTTTCAATATAATAAAAAAATGAGTTTACCTTCATCAAGGAGGGAGGAGCGTTTCTCATGACAGCCACTTTAAAATAATTAAAAATTAATTTTTCATTTTACTTACCGATCCTAAATTTCTCCAATCTAGCAAATCACTTAACCTCTCTGTTCGGTTACGTTGGATAATTCTTTGCCTGCGGTTTAGACGAGTGAAATCATACATAAATTGTGCAAGCTGACGAACGGAGTCTTCAAGACCGATGTACCGCCTGTCAACGACATAAATACCATAACTCTGAGGATCTGCTATTTGCTCTTGCATGAAACAACCAAAACCTGAAAAAAGAAATTTTACCTTGACGATAAACTGTGACATTGATATGGGAAAATAGCTAAGACCTCGGAATCTATAAAGAAATGATTTTAGTAATCTGAGGATTATTGAGGCTGACATCACATACAAGATCTTTTCAAAATCAATTGTAGAAATTAACAACCTAAATTCCAAATCAACTGATAATACAAAAATACACGTTATTCTTATGATTTCAGTTAGAGTCGACCCAAATATTATGAAATGTAAATTTAAGTAGTTAAATGAGAATATTAACATGTGAAATTAAAGATAGCTTGATTAAGTTTTTAAATTAAGAAGAAAAATGTTGTTAAAATATCTTTTATGAAGTTTATGATATGAAAGTCAATTTACGTACATATTAATAACTCAATGTATTTACAAAGAAACCATCATCAGGCATCCACAAACAAATCCTTGTATTGATGTTGAAACTGCAAAAACGTGTATCTCGTACGCAGTGTTTCAAAATCTATGCTCCTATTTTATTTGATCAAAGGAGAGCAAACTAATGCTATTGCTTGAAATTTCCAAGAAAAAATCAGGGAAGTTTCCAAGAAATTACTCTGCATATTTTTTCATTTAAAAAATGAAGTATGTGTGACAGGAAGTCTTCAACGTCACAAACTGAGGTATGCATTCTTATGGTCTAACTGTCAATAAGATGGCGGGTGCAATGCTCTTTGTAAATGGCTTCACGCTCCAATTTGATGAATAAAATGATTAAAATAAATAAATGATCCATCTTTCTGATTTCATTGATCAAACTTTCACATATATTGGGCTGTTGGAACTATATTTTACCAGAGAGATTTGTTGTGATTGATGGAATGCCCATGACAGTGCATTCAGCTGGTGTGTAACCCCATGGCTCGTAGTAACTTGGAAACACTCCTAGATGGCATCCACGAACAAACTCTTCATAGTCTAGACCGAATAGAGGATTGGTTGAGGATAAAAACTCAGGATGGAATATGACCTATAAATTAAACAAACAACGGTTATGCTGTATTCAAAGTCTCCGATTTGTAAATATTTTGAGGAGAACTGACCAAAATATTTCTTTGAAATTATCTGTAAATATATTTGAATGAAGGCAGAAAATTTGAGGGAAAATAATGGGTTAAGTTTCTTTAAAAATAAAATAAAACTTCAACAGGAGCAAACAATTGCAATGTTGTTATTAGAGACATATATGTTAGTGGAATGATACTCTATCACATATTGTTTGAAATAAAAAAGAAATAAAATTTATAGAAGACATTTCGTTCCCTTCATTGTCTCTTCTGCTCACTGTGATTTAAAATTATTTTATCAGATTTTTCATGCTACCGATATGTACAAGCAACATTTCTAGTTCGTCTTCCTCTTCAAGTTATATTGCAGGGATTAAAACTTATCGACCTCCAGGCGCTGACAAAATTCCAAATTTGCTAACAAAAAAACCTATTCCACTACCGATGAACAGTTAAGGGGCAGTAAATACATCAATTATAATTTTTTAGATAAAACATACCTTGACTCGATCATCAGGTGAATTAAATAGGTAACACCGCCTTAAAGATGTTAAAACAGGGTCATTCCAGTCATCAACAACATTGTGAGTCGTTACAGGTGGAAGAGAGTGCCGCTGGAGTGCAAATAGACAGCGCTTGATATGCATCTTGTCTTCTTTTGTGAACAAATCTTCTGGGTCTGGCATGACACCACTGAAATAAATAAAATTAATTTGTTACCTATTTTCTAAAAATTTTCCAAAAACATTTTTGAAGGGTGTGGAACTCATTCACAATTTTTGGAAATACCGAGATCAGTCATTACTTAAATACATGAAGTATGATAGGTAGTCTGTAAGAAACCAAGAGATCAGGTCTCATAGTTCCACCAATCGACTGTGAAATGTAGTTGAAAGAATGCATAAAACTTAAAATACAAACCATCACAACTGTAAACGCATATCGCCAGTGAAACTACCAGACAACATATCTCGTTTGCGGTGTTTAAAAATCTCCGCTCCCATTTTATTTTATTAAAGGAGAGCATATAATATACTGACAACAGCTCAATATCATTTCTTGAAATTTTCACCAAGTTTTCTTTGCGCAGACAAGAAAAAACATGGAAGTTTTGAAGAATTGACGTTGAGTAAGGTATACTATAAAGGTTACAGTAATTTTATTTATCTCTTTACTTTTTTTCAATTTTTTTTTATCAATGTTCTGGGTCTGGTTTCCATTTAATAAAAATCAAGTATGACAGGAAGTCTATGACATCACAAACCGAGATACGTGGTCTGGTAGTTTCACTTCATTATTGACTTTTTTATCTTTGTATTTTCGGTCTAGGAAACTATTACAAGAGATGACATACCTTAAACAGGTCTCGTACATCCGTTTTCCTACTTTTGCTTGAATTTCATGGATAGTATCTCGCAAACTTTTGGTTACAGCACTTCCTCTAAGACTTTCAACATTGAAGTTATTTGTTTTTGTTGGAAAGATGATGAAAGCTACTACTGTAGTGTCTGAGTGCGCATTCTAGAAGCAACAGGAAAACATATAAATAAGAAGAGAAAGTTTAATGAGTCGATTTCGCTTTGAGCTACTTGTGTACTTGGACCTCTTAAAAATAATCAGTTTAGAGAAGGAAACGCTATGGTTTGCTTCTCACAAATGAGTGCCAATCTTCACTAAAATTCTCATGATGTCGGGTTATTATGAGTATTTGTTGATGTGATAGGAACAGGAGCCATGGAGCCAAGATAGCAGCTAGAACTGGACATTTAATACTTTCAGGAGGTTTTCATTTTTACGGACATCACAGTTCATTATATAACATCCAGCTAAATTAAACATTTTCAACTGTTTGTTTCTGACCAGTTATACTTACTTTACATGTATATGATAATTTTAAGGAGATGTTTTTAAAATCATTGATTATGATCGTTGGTTTTGGAGACAAGTTATTTACTTAGGGAACAATCAATGTATCAGTAAATTTTATAGGCTCAAAAAAAGTGAGAAATGAAACAAGAAAATGCTTACTTTCAAATAATGGTTCAATCTTGCTAGAGACTCAATGAAGATATCACCTCCTTTGTTCCCGAATTCATAACGCCCAGCCGTGAAAAAGTAAAGAGTTTTGTCTAAATTGAAATTGTAATGCCTGAGAACAGAATGTAAAAAAAGAGGAAAAAATCATAAGAAGGTTAGTAAAACTGAGCTGATGTTTGAAGGATGTTTAAACTAATTTGTTAGATGATGACAAGAAGTAACAAGTTCCTTCTGCAAAACTTAGCATTGCTCTTTACGCATCAGCATTGGCTATTTTATGAGCATTCAGCTAAGATATTAAACCTTTTGAAAATCTGACTGCGACAATCAGGGATTTTTTTAAGAGAAAACGACCCTACCAGAAATGTGAGGCCGACTTTCCATTATGCTACATAGGTTATGGTCTAGGGGTGAAAAATTCTGAGGGGCACAACATTTTGAGAATTTGTACATCGTAGATGGGCAGCAATATTTGAATGGATGAACAGCAGAAAGAGTAACTATAAAATTGGAAAGGTAATTTTAATGTTCTATCCCAACTGACAGACAGGACCGATAAGTTATAAGATTTGGAAAAAAGGTAGGAAAAGACAACTTACCCGTAGAAATGACCACGAATGAACTCATTGATCTTTTCTTTAGCTCGGGCGTGAAGATTTTGGAATTCGTGGACAGCAGAAAACTTTATGACGTTCAATCCATTGGGCGTGATGAAGTCTGGTTTTCGTTTCAGTAAATTTTCTGCCTCATAGCCAGTGATATCAGAAACTGTTGTGAAAACATGTGCTAAGTGTGATGCAGCCCTTTCCATACAGTACCTGTGATATATTTGCCTTTTCCCTGCTTCTTCATCAACATTGAACTGGAAAAAGTTTAGAACAGAGTTGTCATATTCATTCTCATTTGTTTAATTAAAATGACAATTTTAAGCTATCAATGAGTATCATATGGTTTGAGGATTAAATCTTCGCCTGGGTTTTCAGTGCGTGAGTATACTTCTTTAACATTCATAATACATGTAAATCAATTAGACTGACAAGAATAATATTAAAGGTATAATATCTGCCCTTTTTAATTTATAAAATAAATATTACCATTGAATTGTGCATTTGAGAGTGGAGGAAGTACCAATCTTTTAAAATCAATTTTATTGAATTTTCAGATACCATTTGTAAAGATAAATCTACCAACTTTCGGGAAATAACAAAAATCCTGGACTAACCTAACATAGGGAGCAAAGCTTTTGCTTGCACCTCTTGACTTTATTTGTAAATTTGTGGTTGCTTTTAGCAGTTTAGGGTATGTTCACTTAAATGTTGCCCATGGTCAGGAAATATAAATCTTCCATCGACCACATCAAATATCTTCAACAAGAGGCACAAACAGTACTTAATTTGTTCACTATCATTACAAAAAAATACGACTTACGCAGAGAAACTTACAGTGCTAAGATTGTTGTAGAAATCAGTGTTACCAGCACAAAGATATCTACCAAGCAAAGTTGCATGAGTTGTAAATACTGTGGCAACGTCGATGAGCCGACTGCGCAAGGCAATAAGACCCACACCAGCTTGCCATTCATGAAAATGAGCTACAATTTTGGCATTTTCATAACTGTCTTCATCAGCTGCTTTTTTGAACTGGAAAAAACAAAAAATACATAAAAAGTCTGTCGATGAGGATTTCATTTTTGAAAAGTTCTAAGTTGCTATAACCAATAAGGAAAAATAAAAAGTGGACAAGGATATCGAGAATTGTCAAAATAAATAATTTTTAAAAATTTATATCAACCGCTGAGAGAGAGAGAGGGGGAGAGAGAGAGAGAGAGAGCTACAGTCCCATAATGATTATTTTAATTTGTATATAAGCCCCTTCAGTAACATGCCCAGGCACTTTATTCCACTTAATCGCCAACCTTATCCGTAGAAACAGAGATTTTGCTGGGCACTCCTTACATTTTCTTTCAGGAGGAACCCTGTTATAGTACTTCCTTTGGCAGCTTGTCGTTCGCTATTCTTTTGACATGATCATACAAGATAAACGGTCATGAATTCATGAAAGATGGTCTGCTTGTCATTTGTCATCTTATGCGCTCTTTCATATTTTGTATGGTCTCCTATCCAGTTTCCACCTCATCTTTGCTAGTTATCGATTTCTATTGCCTCAAAAATCTTCTGGGAGTGATCTTTTATGGGCAATACCTCACTGCTGTGTGTCAGAATGCTTTTGATTATAGTGTTATAGATTAGTCTCTTTGTCTCTAGATACCTTGATCCCAAAAAATTCCGCTTATTGCGGTAGCTCTTCTTACCGGCAAGTTTTGATCTTTTAATATTTTGATTTTTCAATTTAAAATTAGGAGATTTTTAAAACCAGGAAGATCAGAATCATTGAGATGGGAGAGGAAGAGGACCAAAAATTGGATGAATAGAATTTCTTAGTTATAGAATTCATGCTTGAATGAGGTATTATCTGTGAAAGTTGAGGATATCAGTTTTCAAGTTTTGAGAAAAAAGTGCTAAAATTCATACCTTAGCACTTCAAAGCCGCTTGAACCTTGAACTTAAGCAACCTAAATCACAAGTATTGCCAAGATACACATTTTACTTCTCCTTCAACATCAACACCTTCTAATTGATTTTTTGTCACTCTGGTACGCTTTAAGTTAACTATATTTCACTGTATTTAAGGAAATGTGCTTTAATACCTCTTCAATAAATTCAGCCATTTGATATCCTAGAATTACAGCATCGTTAGCTTCCATATCTAGATGAGGAATACCCAAACTGCATTTGCTCCACAGTTCATTCTTGTACTCATCCAGTTTCCAGGCAGCATAGCCAATATCGAACAAAACAATCTGAGGATTGCCATCAACAAGCCAAGTTCCTGTGTGCAGCTGTAAAAGAACAGAAAAAAGAACAAACAGGTAAGACCCCTTGCAAAATTCAAAGTACGAAAATGGCATTTGGACTGAGTTTATCAGAAAGGAACCAACCTACATTTTCAAAAAAATAGAGTTAAGAACGTTTTTAAGTTCCATTAGTCATATATTTTCTCCTGCCAAAAACTCAAAATCGGAAAAAAGAAATTAGTTTGTGAAAAGCAGGTTTAAAATTTATTTTCAAAATTGAGTCTTATGGAGGAGTGAAACATCAAACCTCTTTTTCTTAGTTTCAACTTAATGTGGGTTGCTTACTTTCTGATGAACTAGGTCAAATTTTGCATGTGTTTAAGACCTTCAGAGTAGGGTGAAATATAAGGAAATTGTTCCTGATTTCATAGAAATTGAAATGCTTCATTCTCTTGTTTAAAAATGATTACTCTTGAGTATTATATGGTAAGACATTCCTAGATTGACACACCTCAAATAGAAATAGCTATCAAAATACTCCTTTAGATGCTTGGCAAATTGTTAAAGGAAACTCCAAATCATTACAGATAGATAAAAATTGCACTTCAATCAAAAGTGATAGCCATGAGATACATGAAGCAAAACCCTACCCTACTTCCTGAACTCTTATTGATCATTTTCTGGACTAGAAAAATTGGGCTTACAGAGCAAGCTACACTTACTCATGGTGAAAAATCTTAGATACGTGAGCAAGATGAAATCATGATGATTGTCATAATAAATTTAAATTAAAGTGCATTGATTACAGTTTTTTCAATGACAATAAGCATTGTTAAAAGGACTTTTTTGGATAAAAATTTAATTTTTTTCCAAAACCGATTAAACTTTTTTTGACTTACTTTAATTTTTGACACCTTGATGGCCATTTTGGGCAGGCCGCCCATCTTTAAGTGACTGAAACGGGTACGGAACTTTTAATTTCTGTACCCATTTCAGTCATCTGAGGATGGGTGGCCCGCCCAAAATGGCCATCGTGGTGTAAAAAATTAAAGCAAGTCAGTTTAATTGGTTTTTGAAAAAATTTCAATTTGTATAAAAAAAAGTGTTCATAGTACCGATAAGTCTTGGAAAAATTGTGCATTATGTTACAACATAGTGATCGGTAAAAATATTTAAAGGGTTCATCAGACAAGATAATAAAGCAACAAAATGAAATTTGATTTCAGTATGGTTTAAAATGGATCATAAAAACACATCTCTGAAACACAGTAGGTATCCAACTACCGAATAAAAGTACCCACCTTGAATCCTCGATCTCTCATTCTGCGTACGGCAATATCAAGAGGAGAATCGGGAGCAAAATCTGCCTCATCAATCTCAGCTCTGGCGCAATGCTCTTTGTATGGTCCCATTAATACGTAGTGATCTCCCATTTCTTCTGTTGAAATATATGCTTTGGACCGGATGACTGTGTAAATTCCACCGACTGAAATTGTCGAAAAAGAAGAAAAGCCAAAATAAGAGAAGGAGCAGAACTTTTCATGCAATGATAAAAAATTTACAAATCTTGCAAATGTTATAATTTTAAGAGAAACAGTGAAAGTATGACTGAAGGCTGTTACGATTTTTAGAAAACTTGAGTTAACGAGTTTTTTAAAAAATAGATTTAGCTTTTAAATGCTGTAAAACTGTGCAGTGAGGTAATAGAGAAAAGTGATGTTTCAATGGTCTCCTAAAACATGGAAAAAATCAACCGATTAAAAACTGAACTATGACCACATAAACTCATAATGGCTACATGGTCAATTTGAAACCTCACAACAAATTTTTACTGAAAGTAGAACCATTAAATCATATTTTAAGGAAAATTTCTTGGAAATTATACATTTTATTTTGAAACTTAAACCTTCAGCATGTAAAGAACTTTTTGCAAAATTTTAGAGACCAAATGGACGCATTTCTATCAAACGGAACTAAGCGCCAATGTGAGTTCCTTTTGAGGAATTTAGAATCCCGGATAGCGCGTTCTGTCAAACTGACCTAAACGCCATGGAAAAGCATTGCATAGTATAGGACAGAATGAGCCGGACGCCCGATTCTGCCGCCAATCCAAGCCCCCCTCTACCTTCCTCACCCTATGGCGCTTAGGTCCGTTTGATAGAAATACGTCCAAATCAAACCCTTTTTTTGGACAGGAATATACACTCTAAGTCACAATATTGTGCTGTGTAATTTGTGAATTTGTCTCACCTTTGTTTGCAACCTCCCATGCAGCCTCAAATGTCCATCTATTTTGGGTGTAGGCAAGTTGACCTTTATCCATGGCAGCCATGAAATCATAGTTGCTGTCCACACGGTAAAACCGTTTGCTTGCTCGTTCCTTAGACATGATGGATTCTTATAATTTTATATTGGTATATGCTCAGCTAATTGGGAGAAAAATGCAGCCGTCAACTCCTGCAACAAAGAAGCAAAATGCAGACTCTAATAAGCTCATTTCTAATAGGTAAGTAAACACTCTATTAAATAAAAAACCCATCACGGAGAGTCTCCAGACTGCACTACAGAATTCGAAAAGAAGTCTGTTGTACACAAGAATATCATAAAAAGCCCGCCCACCTGCTCTGGGTCTTGGTTCACACTTTTTAGAAATAATCAACGTAGATGAACACTTCAGCGGTATTAATACCCTAACATGACACAGAAAACCAATAAACTGAGACAGGTGGTTTGATTTAGCATGGAATGATCCCTAACTGCACGCGTTGTCTAAATTTTATGTTTGGTAACTGCACATACAGGACAAGACTGAGGTGAAATGGAGCAATGCGATTGACTACTTGCATCACTTGATGATGTTTCCCTATTTTTCCAGGGCTTCATTGAATGGGCTGAACAATTCACATGCTGAGCGTGCATACTTAGGCACCGATAATAATTATTCAACGAGAGAATGATTTTGTCAAGGCATGCCACCAACCACACGGTTATCTTCCATCAAAGTCTCATAATGTCCAGTCAACAATCACCAAGTTTTGATACTCCAATCCACTCAGAATCAAATTTAATGAAAATAGATAAACAAGCACTAGTTCGAAATATAGTAAGTCATACGTTCATAGGCTCCGATACCTCAGGACCGGTATTCTTACCGTGCCTTCAAGTGCTCAGGAAAACTCCGTACTCTAAATTATTAGGGAACAACACTCATAATCAACATTACAGCTTGCAAACAGTGTCAAAATTTTAGGGAATTAATTCAAATTAAATAAATATAGGTAGGAGACTCCAGCCTCATAGAGTTAACCAGCTGAACATGAGGATTGCGGTGTAGGCATAGAAACCAACCATAACTGTTGTGTAATGAAATTATCGCTGTTCAACAACTAGGGGCATAACACAAGATCCCAATGTGTCAAACTACATATTACAGATATTACCTTAAACTTGAATCACTTCACAAATGAGATATGTTCTCTTATCATTAAGCATAACTGCCACTAACAAACTATGACCTTTAAGCTGCGCAAAGTTAATAATTTAATACAAAAAGTAACACAGCAGCTTAAAAATAGGGGATTCAATGATGAAGGTGAAGGTTAGTTAGATGACAAGAGTTTGAAGTCTATAATTAGCTCCCAAACCTATTTTGAATCTCAAAGGGCTTATGGACGGAGGGCAAGGGTGGTCCATTAATGAAAGATGTTGAGAGCCATTACAGATAACAAGAAGTAAATTGTGAGTTGAGGTGCTTCAATTAAATTATACTCATGGAAAAAAAGGATTTGTTCTGAGGAATAAATTGCTCTGTACTTACTTACTCTAAAAGAATGAGGAAGAATAGTGGTAGTGCGACATGAGAGGTTAGCTTGACATGACAGAGGAGACTGAAAATCTTGGGATCAAAAAAATTTTTGCTGATAACGAGTAAGTCTAGATAAACTGTCACCTTCTAGAAACGGCTGACCGCCGATTACTGGATGCCAAATCAGTCTTCAGTGATGCCTTGAATTGCTGTTATGACAGGACATCTCCCATTTTCTCTTATCACTCCTCTTATCATTATCAACAACAACTTTTCTATTGGCTACTTCAGCTTAGTTTCCTGACTTTGCGCCAGAGGGAGCGAGGAGCCTCACCCGAAAGTTGTTTGGCTTCAGACAGTCAGTGTTGCCAAATCGTTTCTTAATCTACATATCGACGGTGAAACTACCAAACCACGTATCTCGGTTTGCGACGTCGCAGACTTCCTGTCATACTTTATTTTTTAAATGAAAAACTACTTAACGTCCAGTCTTGAAAATTTTTGTGATTTTTCCTCATCGTGCGGAGAAAATTCTGTGAAAATTTCAAGGAATGATATTGATTTGGTCTACTTCAAAAAAATAAAATGCGAGCGTAGATTTTTAAACACCGCAAACGAGATACGTGGTTTGGTAGTTTCACCGTCGATATTTATTTACCTATTCCGAATAGGCTACTCGTTACGATTTGTCTCTGGTTACGATGAAGAAAAAGTAGAACAAACCCTCAAGGTGTGATATTTTTTTATTCCTAATCTCAATTCGTTTTTTTTGGTCTCTAAATTAATACAACAATTCTCACGAAATCGAAGTAGTAAACCGTTAGACCCCACTTTTGCCAACCCNCCCCCCTCTCATCACGTATCCTAGGCAGCTCCTATTTATGACATATTTATGACATATTTATGACATATTGTTTGTGGTGCCATTGACGGCGCGGGAGGCCATAAATATCCTTAATACAGAGAAAGCACAATTTTGAAATTTTGATCAACCATTGTCACGAGGTGAACTTTTAACTTCATTTTCGATTGCAGATAATTCAGGGCCGGATTAAGGGGGTGGCCACATGGGCCGCGGCTCATGGCGGCAAAATTAGGGGGCGGCAAATTTTGCAATTTTTTTAAATGCAGGTACAAAAAAATCGGACTCAGAAAAAAATTACAAACAAGAAAAGGTGACAAAATCTCTCACTTCCTGAGAGTTCATTAATTTCTAATTTTATCGTATTTCGGTGATACAAAAGACTGCGCACCTTTAATTAGTTGAGTTAAGAGAGAAACCAAACACGTAATTTGGCTTGGAGCGGCACGGCGTAAAGAGAAATGATGACGAGGACTTGAGATGAAAAGGAGAAACCCTCGACGCGGCGCGGCGGTCGGCATGTACTTAACACATATTAGCGCCTACGAGACTGCATGAATACTTCACGCATTGCGTCGAACACAGTACCGTCAACAGCGGTCGGCGCGGCGTGAAACGCACAGTGCCTACAAGACTACATAAATACTTCACGCATTGCGCCGAACACAGAGTGGTCAGCGCGGCACGGCGGCGGAAGTTAAAATATTAAACCACATTTATGTTTGTTCTTTCTTAACTTTTTAGTTCATTTCTTAAAAATGAAAGGCCTTGTCCCCACAGAGATAGATTTACGGAACTGAACTTTTGCGCGAAGTTCCGTGAACTTTTGCTGGTAGTGTTGGACTTACGCAAAAAATGTGTCCAACACGAGTGAACGCGTCTTATGCACCCTTCTCCCTCCGGCACGTTCACTTGTTGGTTTTTATTAATGTTTCAAAATGAATGAGAAGAGAGCGGCAAAATACAGGCGGCCCATGGGCGGCAAGTCGGTAAATCCGGCCATGGCGGATAAAATAGAATAAAAAAAAATTATTTTGATCGTGAGCTTTTCCTCCTAGAAGACAGCTCACAATCAGACCAGAATCTATGATAGAACTATTTCAACTTCTGTGTAGTCGTCGTTGCATATCATGTTAAATGAAGGGGACGCAACATTGCTTACTAGACAACGTTTTATTTTGGTGCCAACGGTGGGCTTTACTAGAAGGACCCGAAGTAGCAGAGCGCTTTCAGTTTTTCGTTTATACTACAAAAATATCTCCTAGGCAAGAATAGTTGTATACAAACGTAGGATGTGAGTATCTTTGTGCTTCAGTTTGGATATGCTGAACGTGATTCGTACCTGTAGCAATACTTTTCATGTTTAAGAGATATCTCCGAAGTACAAATGCAGAATTGAAGGCTCTCTATCATTTTAAGTCCTCGTAATAAAGCTCGCCCAACCATGAACAATCCTTCCAGAGAGGTGGGATCAGGCTCGCCACATCCCACCTCGGGCCCTGGTACCAGTTTTAAGGTCCGGGCCCCAAGCACGGAGGGGGGGGGGTGGCTGTCCGTGGGGCATCCTCCGAGAAATTTTAGAATTTACACGACTAATCGGACGCATTGTGAAGCTTCCATAAAGAACTTTTTCATCAAATTCTGCGGAATAATTATGTTTTTTTTTTTTTATATACTTTCAGCACAAAATACTTGCGAATTGTTGCATTCAAAACATCTGGGAATTTTTTTTTTTTATCCGGGTATCGGAACTTCAGCTAGAATTGTATTTAGCAAATGGGTGGTTTTTCCACGAGGATTAAAAATAAACGAGTGCTACGGAATATAACAAAAGAATATGAACTATGCAAAACGATAATCCGGGTATCGGAACTTGGCTGTTTTGAAAACGCCTTCAAATGGGGCGTGATACCTCACGCATTCCGGAGAGTTCAAATAGTTGTATCATTGCGCCTTAGAACATTAGACATCGTCAACTTTCCGAGAAATGCATGATTTAAATGTATTTCTATGTTGCCGGTCCTCGAAATTGCAATAAATGTGGTATCTGAGCATGATATGCGGGGTTTACTTCAACCTACTTTAATGAGACGTCATTTTTAGGATTTTTTGTTGTTGTTTTCTTCTCGTTTGATAATCTAATTTTGACGTTTGAGTACTTTACGCGTGAAATTTCCGTAAAAATGAGATGCGACAGGAAATATCTTCAACATCATAAACCTAAATACACGTACATGATTTCCTAGGTGCAATGGCGAAACTATAGCACAATAAAGTCTGGCAAATATATTAGTGAAAATTATATTTTGTTCTTCTCTTTCTCCCCTGAAATGTCGGCTGCGTCTAGGTCAATCTTGAAGTACTTGCGCTGTGTAATTATACAATTTAAATTCCTATTTACAATCATTTTTCAAATTGCGTAACAATTAGAGGAATTTGGAAAAGAACTGAGCTGTAATAAAAAATCGAGCGTCCTCGTGTGTCTCAGGGAATCAGATCGTACAAGGTAACATTAAATACATTAAAGGAATATCCTACTCTCGTGTGTCATATTATACAGGATGTCCCAGTCCCAGACCACCCTGTACTACACCAGGTCGAAGTGCTATCATGCCTCATGATGGTTGGCAATTGGACATCTGCGAATCCAGGGAACTTCCTTGATTAGTCTTCGCTTCGGGGCGACCATATTTTATAAAAAAACACCAATTGAGCATCATGAGTATGAAGAAAATTAGACTTTACTGACTAAACATGGAGACTATGCACATTTTCGGTGGCCCAAAAATTCCCGTCGAACCGTTTTTAAGACCATACGTGACATGTCCGGTGCCGATGTTCTCACGATAACGACTCCAAACGAAGTGGCTACGCCCATGTGGGAAATTCGACCGCTCAGCGAATTTCGTTGTATTAATTTCGTTGATGTAGAACCTGCCGAACTACTCCCAAACACAAAACATGTCACGAACACGATCGACAAGAGTAACGTTTAAAAACATGAAGGGGATGGGAACTCATCGAAACGATCCCACCTAACTATGGCTGAAAAGTTGTATACGCAGGGAGAAAAATACGCCGCAGAGCAAGACTTTCTATCCCTAAAAGTGTCTTTGGCTTATTTTATTTATTTTTTTATTTCATTTTTTCCCCCGTTTTAGTTCTCTTACCAACATATATTCACTTATGCCTATACGAATTGAACAACGACCTGGACAAGTGACATCATTACGGTGAAACCGCCAAACCATACGTATCTCGTTTGCGGCGTTTGAAATCTACGCTCCCATTTTATTTTTGTGTGGGAGACAAATGAACAACATTCCTTGACAAACTTTCAGAAATTGCTTCGCAAAGAGAAGAAATATCACGTAAGTTTTTAAGAATTGACGTTGAGCATAGTTCTGTATTAAAAAAATGCAGTATGTCAGGAGGTCTACAACGCTGCAAATCGAGATACGTGGTTTGGAAGTTGCATACTACTAACCTAAACGTGTAACTTGGCGGAGCAAGTCATCTGAATTTCGAGAACCGCGGTGGGCAAGAGGCAATCTTTGTGTGTGAAATCAACAACCTAATATAATTACATGTCTTATTCCCATTGGCGGACCCAGCAAATTGGCAACATTGTCTTTTCTCCATTTAAATCTATGGAATTGTATCGATTTCAGGAGGGGCTAGGTGCTCCAACGAGAATGGATTTTTTAGCATAGGTTTAAATGGCGGGAATCCAGTGTTGCCAAATTGTTGGATCCGCCTCTGCTCATTCCCAAAACTGCAAATTTTGATCCTACGGATTTTTCCTATCCTGTAAAATGCAGGCAAAACTATCTCCTCCAAGAATTGAGTTAGCGTTCAAGTATGGGTTGGCGCCGGACGCACCGCCAAAGTTCAGCCTTCATTCGGCAAGTAGGCAATTTGAGGGCAGAGGAGGGGCACGTGTGATTGCGATATGGTGCGTTCATGAGAAGAGGAGAGGGCTTAAGCCGGGTGTTACGTGAAGGTCAACCTTCTATTTTTTTAAAAAAAAGAGAAAGAAAGATAAAAAAACAATGGCATTCTTAAAATGAAAAAGAAAAAAAAAAGATTTGTGCGGTAAAATAAAATACTTAACGACTGAACCTACGAATGTAGAAGTAACTTTTTTAATGTTAAATTGTAAACAAACTCAAAAATCTGTTCGTCTTGTCTCGTAAATCTTGGCGTGTACACACTCCACTTACCTTCCGTATACGTTTTCCACGACGCCTTGAAGCCTTGATACTTCGGTTTTAAAAGCTGAACCACGGACGAAAAGAAGTCAGGAAATATCCCTCAACCTGTCATGGTTTACTGCCAAAACATTTAAGCTAACACACACTCGCATTTCTAACAACGTTATCAAATTCTAGCTCTATGACAAGTGTAATATCTTAAATTATAAAAAGAGCAAAAGAAACAGCGTAAAGACTTTCTGGGTTTTCAAATACTTGAAATCGCAGCACTGCCCGTCGAGATGAGAGGAGCACAACCAGACCTGACTTGGATTATCGCTCTGGCGTCTGAGCTCCTCAAAGCCACCTTGACGACGTCTCCGAATGAATGAAACAAAATATCTCATATGACGTTTCATCGAAAAGATTTGCAGCTTTGAACCCATCGTATTAAAAAGCTTTATCATTACGCACTTGAAGGTTATCTACGACATATTGTAACGATAATTAAAACGGGAGATAAGGCCTCCACGGTTATATTTGGGATGAAAGTCTAAACAATTAGCGCGTCCACGACGTCAGATAGATTCAAATGCGCGAATAGAGTTAAGTCACGAGATTAAAGGGATCTACCCGGAAAACGAACGGTATCGGATTTTTTTTTTTTGGTTGGCTTTAACGCTAATTTAATCTGCAAATATCTATCTGAGGCATGAATCATAGGAATAGCTGAAGTTCATAGGACATTGGTTGACTCGTTTGTGTTACTCATGTAGTTCTTATGGGAACTTTATTAGCTAAATACGTCGAAAACTCAGGTTGTGGCGGCTAAAAATAAGGGACGCAGGCCTATTCGACCGTGCTAAGGAAAAACGCCGTATATAAACTTTCAGGTGTTGCCAAATTTCCTTTGATAAAATGTGAATTTCCTTGTAAACTTATAAATATTTTCCTCCCAATTTTTCAGATAATTTTGTTCGAAATTTCACTTCAAGATTCTGAAAATTTTAAGGAAAAATATTCAAAGCTTTCCTAAAAAATATGCATTTTATCGAAGGAAATTTGGCAACTCTCGAATGTTCACACGGCGTTTTTCCTTACACGGCAGTATTGTCATGTCTAAAACATAGATGCAACCTTGATTCCTGTTAAATCTAAAAAATAGATGCAACCTTAATTTCTGTCTAAAAATTAGATGCAACCTTGATTTCTGCCACGTCTTCGTTCCTCGCAAAGTGCTCCACTGAATCATCGAAAACCTCAATGGTTCCTAAAAAATTGCAGATGATACCTGCTAATGGGACCGCGTTAAGCAGAAAGGAACCAAGCCACATCAGCAATTGTCAAATTTAATCGGACGATTTAATTTTTCAGATGAAAACGGTCGTGCGGCTTTTTTTTGCAAATTTCATTGAATTTTCTGCATATTACGAAGCAAATTCTTATAATTTTCAAAGGAATCCTTACAAACGTTCTGTTATAAAAATTATATCGCCCAGTTACATTTGGCAAAAAGCTTATGTGGCTTAATTGGTTCTTTTCTATTAAAGAAGGGTCCAATGAAACTTGGACCACATTTTGCAATAAGGAACCACTATTTCTGGCTCATTTTAGAAACAACATAAATGCTATTGGTTTCCCTATGCAGAAAGGTGCTTTTATGAAAGAGCCAGAGATAATGGTTCCTTATTGCAAATTGTAATCCACTTGATTGTCTATTTATTGTACAAGCTTAGGTGAGGCTGGAAAAATGACCTCACCGATCTAAACCAAAAGGCTTAAGTCATTTGTTTATTTTTGGTGGGATCGACATAGACGAACTATTTGGATTAAAGTTAAATTGAAATTTCCTACTGGCAAACTTTACTTTTTCTCTCTCTTTCTCTATCTCAATAATATCTATAACTATGCACAGCAGTGGCGTGGCGTGCTTTGCGATACATCGATTGATATAATCGATTATTTTCCATATAGCCTCAAATGGGGAAATGGCGATAATCGATCATTCACGCTTCGCCACTGATGCACATTTCCTAAAAGTAAAATATGGGAATGATAATATTAAGCGAAAATAAGGTGTATAGATGTTATTTGGATAACATTTTTGCGGTGCGAATTATACGTCATCATTCTTATACCATTTTTGTTTGGGTAAAAAGCTCTCCCCTCCTCGTCATTTGCGAATAATTCCAATGACCTACTATTAATTTTCCTTATCTCTCTTGAGGTTTTCCATTGCCGAAAAGTTAAGAGATAAGGAGGTACAGAGACGTGTTGTGTCTGCAACCGCTCTTCGGCAATGTTTAGCGCCCTCTTTAATTAACGATAATTAATATTTTTATAGGCGCCCTCATTACTCTCGTTAAGTCTGACGATTTTTATACGGGAAACCTATGTTATACCTAAGTTAAACATATTTGCTAATTTTAGGTGCAATTATGCTCAATGAGTTCGACTATGAATATTAAAATTGTATATATAGACAAGGGAATGGGAGATTTTACATGAAAAAATTCATTGCTTATGGTAGATAAGCAAAGTGTAGAATTTTTAAAGTTATTTTCTAATCAACAGAGTTAAAGGAAATTGATGCAAAAAAAAGACAATATGATTAATTGACGCAAAACAGAGGAAATATGGTTAATTGTCGTCACTTTGCGCTTTCCCCCATTTTGAACACCATTGTATTTGAACAGATTCGATCTCTTTTATTGCAATTTGTACTCAACGCTAGTACAATTATTTTAAAACGAAAATTCTCCTTGTAGTCCGTTCAAATAGTATAAAATATTAACTCTCAGGCACCTCAACATTTTCTATTTTCATGAAGTGTATTCGCTCCGGAAAATTGATCCTCGCTGATAAGAATGGATCACTATTCCACCAGACAACATTTTTCAATTAGTACACCTCAACAAGAAACATTTTCCCATCAAAATTCCACTCTACGTAGATACGAGACGCACACTTTCGAATCTTTCGAGAATCATGTTGTAAGTGAAAAATATCATCCATAATCATTATTTGTATAAATATTCTAACTCATACATACTTTTAGAATGCTAAAAAATCAAGATCAACGTCCATACGATTGGAAACGCCAGAGATTGAAAATGAAGGACAGTTGCCTGTAAGGGGCCTTTCTTGGCCCTGCGTGAGGAATTTCTGGCCATCCGTTTGGAGACTACTAGTCGGTAAGGCAAAAATAGGCAAGTAATTCAACTTGTTTGTTTTTGTTCGACTGACTCATTTTACAGTGGTGTGTGGACAATTTTATATAAACCTGTAAAAATCATATTTTTGAAAGAGCTTTAAAAAATAATGCAATTATTCCAGGCTAAATCGTCTACTTTATGTACTTTTTATTTCCTTTCTCAGAGCTCATTTTGGTACGTAAAATTGCACGAGGCGGTTTTAAACGATTTGGGATTTTTTTTCTATTATCAGATGAATTCTCTGCGAAGTGATCCCATTATGACTAGATGCCGATTAAACTAAAAGTGAATATGCGGCATTATTTCGTCAATGCATTAACTTTGCTAATGAGTGAATATTCTGTGCCCCATTCCACAATTTTTTTTAAAGATTTCATACCCGAAACTGTCGAGAAATTTTGTGATTATGATTTAAAAAAAAATGCCAATTGTTCTCATTGCTTCCTAGTTTAGATGTTCAGGAAGGGGAAATTAATGTTTGAAGTTCCAAACACCCCTCCCTCCCCCTATTTAGGAAGGCATTCAAAATTGCCGCCGCATGGGTGAACAAACCATTACCACGAAACAACGCAAAGTGAGGTATTGATTCGGGTGTTTTTCGGTCACAGAATCCAAATTTTAAGTAAAAAAATCAACGTTTCATTCAAAGATTTTTCCAAATCCAAGGCGGTAGCTGTAAACCAGTTTCAGGCAACACACGCTCTGTGGATGTCTACGGGTGCGGGATCTTTTCAATCTTAGTTGATCCTCGGCCCTGCTTGTATAATTACACGTTGACGACTTGAAGAGCTAAGTAAAGCATTATTAGAAGTATTACCAAAACTCCCTCTAAACCATTGAAAATCCTTGTCATTTTAAGACACGTGGAGCATAGTTTAAAATTCATAGATGGAAATGACGTTTTGGGATATTGATCAGACTTGTAAATATCTCCATGGTACATGTTCGAAGCACTGGGAATGCTACAGCTACACTAGGGTGCGTCAAAAAAAATGAAAGTCTGAAATGTTCCGCTCCCCAGGCGGCAATCGATGACGTTTGGTAAAAAAACATGTTTGCCAAAATTTGGGCCAATTTCAACCATTTTAAATGGTGCCAAAGGTCAATTTTGTGATGAAATTATGATATTTTGGTTTAGACCTCGATTTCGTACAAAAAACTCGATTTTACGCTGAAATCGTGCGTTTACGACAAAAATGCCAAAGAACTCGACTTGTAGAGGATGAAATTTTACACTAGGAAGACGTCTTTGTAACCGATAAAAATCAAATTGAACTAGAAAAACTCAACTCGGTATTTATTTTTTTGGTCCTCAGAATTTCCGAGGTCTTAGAAAGTAGAGGTTTAAAAGACTCATTTTTCACGAAAATAAGTCGAAAGAGGGTGTAAATGAACTGTAGGCAAGTGTTGAGGATGCAAATGTCATCAGAACTTCCTCAGTTTCAAAAACAGTTCCAACTACTTTGCACAATCCTCCAAAAAGTGCACGGCTCGAGAAGCAGGATCGTGCTATAATAGTAAGGGGAAAGTGCGGTTTGACCGGGAAAAATTGCGTAACAAACTTTCCCTATGTAATCGTCATCAGTAGGTCCCCCTGAACAACTTCCTAAAAGTTAAAAATGGCCCGACCCCGGAATACCCCTCAAAAAAGTTAAAATTGAAAATGGCGGCCGTAATGAGAGGGTCCGGGAAATCGGTAGGTATTTTAAAATGCTCATTCTGTCTCATCATGTGAGGTATCATTTCCTATGTAATTTTGGTCGTAGATTTCATAAATGAATTCCACAAGGCCCTCCGGCCAAAGGGGGCGCTCTAAATCAAAGATGGCGGCCAAATGTGAAAGGCAGGAGGTTGCATTTTTTTAAATATTCACCGAAGGAACAAGGAAAGTGAATTGTCTTTATTTTCATGAATTTATGGCCAAGAAACTTAAATTTGATGTTATAAATGTATTTAATAAAGGAAAATAAAGGAAACATACGACTACCGAGAGAAACGTAAGCTTAGAAGGGGCCTTGGAATTCATTCATGGAATCTACGACCAAAATTACATAGGAAATGATACCTCACATGATGAGACAGAATGAGCATTTTAAAATACCTACCGATTTCCCGGACCCTCTCATTACGGCCGCCA